CACACACACACACACACACACACACACACACACCTTTACACACCTTTTTGCCACAGCCCTTTTAGAAACTCTTCTCAGGTTCCTGTTAAACCAGGGATATACCCCAAATAGCTGTTCTTTTTTTTAACAAGCATATAGCGTCAGAGGTGAGGGGTGATGTGCAGTTTATTCTTAAATTCTTCTTCCCCAAATAAAAAAGGTATAAATAAATGCATACACAGATTTGAAGCACAGAAAAACATGCTAATCCACATTTGGTAATCCATTCAGCTAAAAAGGGGATTTAGGTTCTTCTGTTTTAATGTTATGCAGAGGTATGTGATCATTTCAACATTCTCAGGTAAAATCAATCCATTTAATTTTTGGTAATGCATTTTATTACTGCCAAAATATCTTTCTAGTCTGCACAATCTCTGGTCATCCTTACAATCATATGGTGATAAGGACAAGCAGTACTTGGCAAAATGTCGTACATGGAAGGCCAATTTGTAAAAGTAATTTATAAGACGCAGAAGAAAAAGTAGGGTGTGCATAATTAGTTTATTTTATCACGATACTTTTCAAGTTTAAGAATGCTACTCGTTACAAGATATGCTGTGTAAACCCTGGGTTTATTTGTTCATTTTATCTATGAATATATTTATATAAACTGTTCACATCTTAATGCATGCCAGGTATGATTCAGGTTTTTAAAATAAGAGAAAGAACCCAGAGGACAGTTTCTAAAGCATAATACATTTGGAAAATTTAACTTATATGAGAAATTGATTGCTTGGTCCTATGGTTTTCTTATGAAATGTTCTTTTCAACTCGTGGAGGACTGCGAGGTTAACAACCTCCCACTTCCTGAGATTTCAGGACAAAGACTTGAGACCACTGGGGTGAGACCTTGTGAAGTCACAAGAGCAGGGACAGAACACACAAGGCTTGTGGAGAGGTGGCAGGACTGGTTCAGTCAGCTGATTATGCAAAGAAGCATGAGGGCAATCCAGGTACAAGCCAGCTAACTAGGTGATATGGGCACTTAGGGCCAGGAGAGAAAAGCTGAGCAGGCATCACAGTGCCAGTACCAGCTGCATTGATTGCTACTGTGCTAACTAGGTCTCACATCCTGCACATCCTTATCTACAAGTCACATGAGATGTGGGGAGTTTCTTTAGGCCTTCTGGTGCTTTTGGGGCTTATGGAATGATCATTAGCAGCCCAGGGAGGGTTCTCCCCCATCCTTGGGACTTGCACTGCTGCTCTCAGGGTTTCTGCAAAAAGAAAGCTCACAAATGCAACACTGCCTCTGTACTCCTTGCATTCCTTCAAATAGCACAATGAGACCCAATGTTGTACAAGCACAAATAAAATAAACTTGGACCTCTAGGCCTAGCTGGAAAAAGAGGAGATGAACAACCAGGGTTTAAAATAACCTTACCCAAAATGTCAAGGTTTTTCCTATGGCAGTACCATGTGTAATGAGATTTTGTCTTCCTGCCTGGAGAGTTAGCATGCCGAGACTTGGGAACCCTAGAGCCAGTGTCCCCAACCCCCGGCCCATGGCTCTGGCCTTGGCGGGACTGGGCCATGGAGACAGATCTCCCACCCCTTGCATGCAAGCCCCCTGCATGCATGCATGCATGCCCCCCACATACACGCATGGATGCACACATGCCCTGTTCAGGCACACACATGGACACATGCGGACCCCCACATGCCTACATGGATGCCCCACGCAGCCACCCACACACGGATGCCCCACTCATGCCTGCACACACAAGTGCCCCACCCATCCACACATGGGCACCGCCTCCCACCCCCCCTGCTAAACCGGTCTGTGGTTCGGAAAAGGTTGGGGACCACTACCTTAGAGGATGTCATTCAGTTTTCATGACTGAGTGCAGATTTAAAAACAGGTCTCACTTGTCTTAGTCCAGTATTCACCACTTTAGTGGTGGACTAAGACTCACTTGTCTTAGTCCACCACTTTACCACTTCAGTTAGGCCTATTCCAGTATGATGTTCACATTGTTGGAGAGGGTGTCAGCTCTGAATTATAAGTCCACACAACTTTCCTTCCCAATGGGGGAATGTTTCTGTAGTAGTACAAGGGGTTTTTGTTTGTTTTTTGAGCAGACAGTGGATAATCTGGTGTTATATTAGACCCTAATCCCTAACTCAACGGTAATTCAAAGCTGTAGATTCACAAACTTTGTTATGATTATTAACCATTGTGCCAACAGTTTGCCTTGGCCATCCAAGAACATGATTTTAGCATTCAGGATTTATAGCAGTAATGAAAGGCCCAATTAAACTCAATCAAGATTAAATACCAACAAAATGATGTACTTTAAACATTATATGTTATAACTATTTTAGTTTACACCAGATAATGACTAAAGCAATGTTACCAACACACAGTTCATTCTTCTTACTTTCTTAGATTGCAACATTAATACTGAGATTGCAACATTTAAGATTAAAAAAATTATGAAAGATAAACTTGCTTCACCTTTCCATGTGAATTATCCTAGATA